TAGGTGTGTAATCTCGATTATAGCTATTTCCTTGTGTATATGGGGAAGTGAGTCAGGTTAATTGAGGATTGTGTTAAATTTTTAATCTGTATCCACAATTTGTAATTGTTATTTGATGTTATTATATATTCAACACCTGCGTAGATCCAGACTAACAAACAGATCGTGGTGTGCTGTTGTTGGTGGTGCTGTTAAATTTTTATGCCCGAAATAAATCCATGTATTCGTAGGGGCCATACTTTCATGTTGTCTGAACAGAAGCAGATAATTTTCGTAGGAATTTGCAACTGGATCGTTCGGTTAACCCATGAGATAGTTGGAGAATGTGAAGTCCACAGTTCATTGGAAGTCGGTGTTCTGTCAACCAGATCCAAAGTTTGCGATTCGCGTTTTTCACGTCCAAGGTGTCAAATACGTCCAAGCAATCTGGTGACCATTGGTAAGGTATCCCGAATTCCACTGCTATGCCATTTAACGTTGGTACTCGGATATTGTTAGACGAGTGTTCTTCTCAAAAGGTTTAAAATTTCGATTTTTCACTTCCTAAAATTGTTTTTGGTTTCTTTGTTCATTAGAGCTTGATAAGTGAATGCCGCTAGGAGTTCAACAACTAAACAGGAGAACTGTTAGGAGTTTTTAGTCAAAGCTTGGAGTTCTGACAAAATAGTAGTTAAGGTGAGGTAGAGGTCTATTCGTTTGGATCGACGATTTCTTCATCATTTTCGCTAACCGAGGCACCAGCTCGACTGTTATCCATAACATGGCCTTGGGACTGAAATTCGTCTGATTTCTACCCTTCAAGTACGATTAGATCTTTGGTACGACATAAACCATTCCCAGAATATGTTTCGAAAAATGTCCTATTTTGGTGACAAGCACGATACCTCCCTCAGCTTCGGATAAAGTATGGCCTTTTGCGAGTCAGAAATTTGATCGTGTCCATTCATTCTCTAGAATTATATCTGGTTCATTCAACCCACTCCTTTATCAAATGTTATGACGGTGTTTTGTGATCCGATTTGACCGACAAGCATTTTTCTGCAATAACCCTGCTTAAACCATACAGAGCCTGTGTCACGTCGACCGATCCACATCTGAACCTGATCTGAACGCAGCTGTGCTGAATTCCACAGTGCCTAATCCGGATTCCGAGTCTACTCCGGACGGGTCTTACAGCCGACCGAACGCGTTAATGACTTCAAGTACCCAGGAGTGCTATGGTTGGGACTCCTACAAGAGTCATGACGACGGTCTTTTCAGTTTCTCCCGCCCCAAAAAGAGTGTAAGCTTTAGTGGGAAGATTCGTTTGCTTCGACTTCAGGGTTTGGCAGGTGAAGATGATGACTATTCTCCAGCATCACCCGAACCGAGATGTAAGTAACAGTAAAATTTACACTTTCCCAGTTCCGTTGTAATTCATGACATACAACCTATTTATCATGAAATATCAAGAAAAGCTTTACACATCCTTGGCGGGCGAGGCTCTACCACGATTCACAAATGACGATTGGTTCAGAAAACAATATGTAGCAAAAGATGAAAAGAAATGATAAAGCTCACGCGAAAGGTGAGCAATAATGCGTATGCGGTTAACTAAGATGCATCCTAGTTAGGTAATGATGCTACTGTCATAGGTGGATGTTCGTGTGGGGAGAATTTCGAATCAAGACCGGGTACGAAAATCAGAGAGTTTTGAGAATTTCTCTGTGAATATATTGGCATTTGATAAATAACAGGCGTTTATTAAACTGGTCACATGCATGAAAGTGCTTGTGAATAATGAAGTCAACAACAAAATCACTCTGGGGTATGCCACTGGATCTGAATAAAAAGGAAACTGGCATAAACACTTGAATCTTCATCTTTCAATCACGGAGGATCATATAGATGCAATGTATTCAATAAAGGATAATATAGACAATGAAAAATTTAAGTACTAAGCATAGAGAGGCACCAGGTTTCCCGAATCTGCAAATGTAAGAAAACAATTAAGGAACCTTCACAAAGACATCTTGTTGTACTTCACACATGTGTGAATCCAGAGTTTGTGCCAACCAAATCATGGTACAACAATGTGAATGTTATAATGTTAATAACATAGCGATGTTGGTAGAGTATTATATTCACCGACGTTTCGGTTACCATGGGTAACCTTTTTTGATTGTAAAACTTGCCTTGAGAAAGGAACTGTAACCGAAACGTCGGCGAATATTATTCTCTATCGGCATCGCTGTGTTATTAACATTATAACATTCACAATAAAACAACACATGGCGTATCGACTTTTCGCTACACCTAACATCATTTGGTCCTGATGTGTTTAAGTATGGTACAATAGTCTGGAAAAAAGAAAAATGTTTTATCATTTGCATGTGGACGATTTTTCTTGAGGAGTTCACACCCGGAGCCTTCGGCTAACCAAAACCAAACCTGCAAGGCAGCGGGTGTATAAAGTGCGCGAACCTGAAGTACTAAGTTTTTGCGTTTATGTGGCCGACTTTCACAGGTGTGGCTCAGATTCATTTATTCTGCTACTGTTTTCCAGTAATCCCTCGGAACTGGGGCCTTTACGGTCAAGAGACCCCGTTGGCCGAGTTCAATCCACGCAATAGCCCTGGACGGGACACAATCCACGGAAATGAATTAGCTCAACAGTCAGATGTAGATATTCGCTACCACGGTATGTTCTTTCATTTGTCCTTGTGCTTGCGTGCTTTCGTATCCATTTAAACCGTAGTCCTCTGGGTTACAGTTTTCGTTTCAGTTCGACTAACATGTCTCAGAGGTCATAATGATTAGCGTCATGCTGAAATATGTGTTTATATGTTAGAAAACATTTAATTTCATACCTCGGTCATCTGCAAGAGCATGAGCTTCACAACGTATCATGGGAATCATGGGAATCAGTGTCTCTTGATAGTTCTTCAGGTGAATTTCTGATTTTATGTCTGTCTGCATACAAAGAGCATATTTTGGGTTTGTCAACAACAAGGCACTCACACACATTCCTTCCTATTCCACATCTTGGTACCACCTCAAGCTTTTCATTCAGTGCTGTTCTTCGTTCACAGTTTACAAGACGGGTAGTCGATACCTGCAAGTTCACGTCTATACGCACTGAGCAAAACTGATTGGGTTCCCATAGAATGCGAAACGGGTTGGTGCTTTTCATTAGCCTTGACTTTATGTCGTGTGCTTTACAGTTTTCACAAAACACGAATAATACCACAGATTTCTGCACGTTTGCATGCTGTTACTTTCTACATGCATCGTCGTAGGTGCAACTGGAGAACGCCGCAAAGATAATTATCAACATCTGACAAATCTCCGAATAATTTACAGAATACGCGTATACCTATTCACTGTAACGCGTAATCTTGCAATAGCGAAAAGCTTGTTGCCATAAAACCCAACTTTTTTATTTGATCTAACACTTCACCCGAATTTAAACTGTATCCTGTTTGGGCACTGAAAGATTAGTTTGTTCTATGGATCCGTTTTGACCTTAGCCAAGGTGAGTTGTACGTATATATGAGAAAATGCCGTCGGTCGTCTGGATAGATACATAAACCCTGATGGCTATTTCAGTGAGCCTATCGCACCTCCCGAACATCAACACACTGATTGCCAGAACATAACTGGGCTTTGCCACATACATACATTGCCAAGACCATAATTTTCCGTCCGTCATGTTCCATCAGGCAAGCCCTCTGGATACCGTAGGCGAATCGACATTGCACAGTAAGCGTTTCAGGGGCCTTAATTTTTTCCTCCCAATTACGGATACCTTTCAGATATTTGCACTTATACCTTGACTGGAATCTGGCCCCAGTGAAATGCGGCATTCACATTGTCTCGCTACCATGGTGGTCAAACAGTGGTTTAGGTAATCTGTCATTGTTCCTCCCCCCACGAATAAACAGTGCATTTATTTTTGTCTCAATATTCTTATATGATTTGTTTGACACTGAATCTGAACCCACCAGTATAATTGAGGTAATAATACTAATCAAACAAGTCTGGTTGCTTTATCGAACTAGACTTCAAGTTAAGTCAGTGAAGTCAATATGAACTGGTCTCGGATGATGAATGTAAAGCGCAAATGCGAATAGGATTCGATGTCTAACTGGTGTTTATAAGACACAAGGGCGTCCTATCCATTCCTTTCATTGTCCTTACCAAGCGCCACACGAGCTCATCGAACTGTGTGCGTTGGCGCTTTTCCGTGCCGCCATTTCAACCTAATTGACCCGACTAATCTAATTGCTATATTGTCAATTTGTTTGATTCGTTTGTCCATGTTTACTCTATCCGTCTCTAATCGTTCCAATTCCACATATACCCCTCCGTGAATGTGCATCTCTAGATAAGCAATCAAAATACCTCGGTAAGCCAGTCAACTGCTTGACTTCGGATTAAGCCAACAGGGATTCCTTGATACTTTCCAACCTGACCGAGAATCTCACTTTTCAGGTTTTTTCTCACCTCTTTTACGGGGATTTCACACTAGCACTCACATTTTCGCCATAACCTAATGTGCCTTTCTAATCCGCCGCGCGAACTCGCACATCTTAGTTAGATTTTTGGGGCATGCACATAAGTTGTTCAACACCATGGTGATCATTGCGGTCTCGCCTAAACAAATGCTTCACTAAAAGTTTCATTTTTGAAATCAGAACAGTTGTTGTTCTGGATTGAACCTGTTTTTGGATTTAATTATGCTCTTTGTATTGTGCATCATTTATGTAGAGACTATGAATCTTGTAAATCATACACTGATTATTTTGAGGTATACTTCATCCCTTATGAAGCACGAGGTGTAACATTTTCTGGCCGTTTTGTTCTGTTTTCCTTTGTCCGTGGTTGAAACTGTTCGTTGGGCTAATGTTGCACCTGTGTTTTAAATTGTGTTTATTATTATTATTTTTCTTCCCCCGTGATTCTTAGAGCCCGCGTCCCGAAGTCCCATTATCCCTCATTCTTTCTTTCGGTTCCCGGTTTACTACCGTTGAGTGTTTGCGTCCCACACTACCGTCATCCACCATCATTTGCCAACTCATAAGGTGAATGAATAAAGTAAATAACAAATACCGGCAACCTTAAAGTTCCAAGCTGTCAGCAGGTTAAGATAAACGTGACCTTGAGCCGAGCGGTATCATAGCTCTCTGCAGATGGTATTGGTACGATCTCAATGTAGGACATTACAAATTCTTGAAGTCCCCGACCACTCTTATCTGCCAGCTACCACAGCCAGGTAGGTGATTTGCGTGTTCTGGAGTAGGTCTGCTATGATAAATTGTTCTCATGTTATTGTTTGTGATTTTTCAAGCAGATCGGCGAATGAATGCTCATGGAACCAAAATGCAGACAAATATTCACAGATTCTCAATCTAAGTGCAAGAATGGCTTGATTGTCTAGGTTCGTGACATGAGCTACAAGTTGTTTGTTTCTACTCGCTGCAATCTGTTTCGTGTGAAAATTTCCACAGAAACTTCCATCTCATGCTCTTTCAATGGCGTGTTCTGTAAGCGCAGAAGATTCACACACCACGTGACCCGCCAGCCACTGGTGCTTATTCTCATTTAGGAAAACCATGACTGATCTTTCTTATGAAATGAAATGAAATGTTAGTGAGGGACGAGAGCATGACTACTCTATCTCCTTTAGCTGATCGGGTACGCTTAAAGAGTGAGTAACCAGACTGGGTTTTCTGGTGGTGTCTGAGTGATATTTACGCATCGCTTGATAATTCAAACATTCAAAACAACTACATGATTCATTTATATGATGGATTTTGGTCGTGTGGAGAGCAAATGAAGCGTCAACTGAAATGCTAGGAAGCGCTGCACAGGTGTTTCGACCTGGTTGGGCCTCAACATCAGTGCGAATCCATCGAAGAAACTAAAGATCGAACCCGGGACCTCGCAGAAACTTCTTACCCAACCTTTGGGGAGCTGATTAGACCGTTTATTTTTCATTTTGCTCTTACACGATATAGCACAACTCATCGTTCCGAGCTTATTCCACCTCGCTCCTTCATCTAAATGGACAAACAAAACGGCGGCACGAAAGTTCATGGTTAATTGTTGCTCGAAATGAATTGGAACTTCAAAAATCGAGCGCTTCGTGGCTTAAGTTTGTTTTTCTCTTCATCTGTTTTAGTTCTCTTTCCAAGGATCTTTGTTGCTCAATTTAATACGGGATGAGCGTTAACTTTACAACCGTGACATATTCACCTTGACCGATGCGGTTTTTTGAATTATTCTTCATTACGCTCACATAGTGTTTTTTACATTGATGATTGCTTCATTGTTATTCCACAATTCCTGCACATGTTTACGCATGTGAAGTTCTTTGCTTTACACTAAGGTATTTGTCGGACTCCGGGTGATTGCGTCGAAATCGTCCACCACTTGATGCCTACCGTAAATTGGTTATGTGAATAAAACTGTCAGGATAATTTGATCCTTGTCGATAACTCAGAATGCGCGAAGGGGTCGAAGATTTTAATTCACACATTATAACAATGCTTCATTCGTCTATTACGCCTTTGTTTGTTGTTCTTCAAGTGATGCGTTATCTTCAAACATTTTGTAATTAATGCTTGTATTATATTCTACAGTTGAGTATCTGTTCAGCGTTTCACCCAATCCTGTTTGGTTTTACCCTTTTGGTCTCCCTCAGCAATGGTGAATGATGTCATCAAAGCGGTCCAGGAGATGGTTGCCTATTTGTCCAACGCGGTGGGCTGTAAAACTCCCAGCAGACAACAAAGCGGACGGCAGACACAAGAGCCACTTCCCTTNCCGGTCATCAACCACTGCTTTCGGTCATTGGCCCGCTGACCGTTCTCCTATCCGATGGACTCTTACCTCCAGCCAAGCCGTTTTTCACCCCCAGACCGCGAACTCGTCTTTGGCAGATGGTGGAAGAGAGCTGTAGACCGAGTACGTTGTTGGTTCCACAAACGAGTATTTCGATATCAAATAACCCGATAGAAATTAACAGAACTTTAAGAACTTCCCGCGTATTTTTTGCGCACACTGTTCTCACGATCTTCATTGTGGAATGCTGTAAGTTACAGGTTTGCTCTGCGAACGTGCTTGTTTTCGGCTCTACTGGGTTCATTACGAATGTGCGCATAGCTGTATTTGCTTCCCCCATTAAGAAAACACCGTTCCTCACAGTTATTCTCAGTTGTTTTGGATGGGGACGACTGTCTCCCAATGTCTTTCTCGCTCTCTCGCTGTTTTTCTATCCGCCTGGTTGTCTTCTTGTCTATCTTTCCACTGTGATCGGATTGTGTTTAGTTATTCCTTCAAACCCATCCCACCATCACACGAATTTATTTTGCGCGTCACGCTGTGACACAATTAGAAGTCTGGTTGGTTCACGAAAATGTCACAACCAAATATTTCTGTGTGCTGCTTTTAGGGATTATCACTGCTGGTTACTAAGTCCATAGGGACGTTCGAAGTCTGTGTTCATGTGCGTGCATATGTTGGCACACAGTCGCCTGGACATCATGCTGGCTATCATAAGGTCAGCAAATTCTTACTAGAAAAACAAGCACAGTCCAAGACTGGTATCAGGTTGGCTGTCATTGACAGTCGGGTTGGTGCATGCGCGTGCAAACGTGTCCCCCGCACGGCGTATTCAGTCGCTGAATTCTGATTTGG